GTGCCTGTGCGTGTGCGTCTGGTGGGCACACACATGCGTGCAAGTGGCGGGGGGAGCATGCACCAGGAGTCTGGGAAGACTGGAAGAAAGCACAAGTCTCAGCACAGTTGGGGGCCCTCTCCCTGGCCCTCTCTCTCTCTGGGGGTGAGGGACTCTGAACTCATTAACGGCAGGAGCAATGGATTCACTGAGGGCCACCCATGGACCACCCGTGGACTCCCCAGGCTGCCTCTGAGCCTCGAAGGGGACTCCGGGCTCAGCCACACCTGCCCCAGGAGCACCAGAGCCTCCCTGGGGTCTGAGGCTGGAAACAGAGTCAGGCTGTAGCCCCCGCCCCTCAGCTCCACCTCCAGAGCCCTCAGTCTTGGCTCCGCGTTGGGCCCCGGGGAAGCTACCCCCGCTCCCGGCCCCTGCCCCGGCCTTTCCCGCCCCCCGAACAGACCCACCGACACTCGGTAGGTAATACAAGTATCTGTGACTCATGAGCCTGTTTATAAAGTCTTTTCAAACTTGGTACATGCAAACACAGTGTGCATGTGTGTGCGATGGGGAGGTATGCTGGTTTTAGAATGTTCCAGAAATTAACTGGAAAAGACAACACAGGTGGGGGTGGATGCATGGAAAAATGGAGGAGCAGCCAGCACCCGGAGCGCTGCAGGCTGGGACCCTCCAGGCCAAGACGAGTCCTGGCCGGGCTGCCGGGGAGTGGGGCGCCCTGGGCAGCCAGCTCCTGGGTCACCCCCTTCCGGCAGCAGGCGCAGAGCCTGCTTGGGCCCAGCGGGGCTTCAGCTCGGGACCTGGGCAGGGGGGCACCTGAGTCACACCCCCAGAGCGCTGCTCTGCTCTGCACGCTCAGGGCAGATCTAGCAAACACATTCGCCGTCAGCAGCTAACTTGACTGGACCTATGTCACCACCCACAGCTAAGCCTGCGCCTGCAGCGCTGACGTCGTTGGCACCAGCCAGACTGGGGGTCTCGCCTCCAATTGTCCAGAACAGCAACGGCAGCTTGTCTCTCGCCAGGTGAGCGGAGCTGGGCCCTGCAGACCCTCCCCACCACCCCGGCTGCCTCCCTGGTCTGCTCCCCCAGGGACGCTCTGTGAGGGACACCCATGTAACCCCTCTGATGTGCCCGGGCAGGGGAGAAACGGCCGTCTGCCCTGCGCCTCCCCCTCCCCTTTTTCACCCCGGAGCTTATAGCGCTCCCCTCTCCCCATGGAACCTAGGCCAAGTTCTCCGGCTGGGCTGCAGGAGGGGAGGTTCTGGTCTTCCTCTGGCTCTCCCCCAGCCAGGAAGCACAAGGAAGTGTAGCCGGGTTCAGCCTCACGTGTGCTAGAAGGGAAGTGCCCTTACCATGAACTTGAAACAACAAAATTCTACTATCTGATGGTTCTGGGGACCAGAAGTCCGGAACGAGTCTCACCGGGCTGAAATCACGGTGTCGGCGGGGCTGAGTTCCTCTGCCGGGTCCAGGGGACGACTGTCCCCCAACTTTTCCAGCTGCCGGAGGCTCCTGGCTCCTTCCATCTCCAAAGCCAGCAATGTCCGAGAGAGGCGTTCTCACATTGCGTGACTCTAGCCCCGACTGTCCTACGCCTGTCTTTCCCTTAAAAAGACGTGGGGTCTACCCAGAGAGCCCGGGACCATCTCTCCGTCCCCGAGTCAGCTGACGGGCGACTTCAAGTCCGCCTGCAGCCCTTGCCCCCTAACGTAACATGTCCAGAGGTTCCGGGGGCTCAGGCGCCTTCAGGGACCCTTTGTCTGCCCGCCACAGTCACGGGCAAATACACGGTTCACTGCCCTTCGCTCCCCCAGCACCGGGAGTGGGGGGCTGAGGGCATCAGCCTGAAGTCCCCTCCCTTCGGCGGCTCCCCAAGGACAGTCAGTAGCAATTCCACCGAAGGGCAAACATCCCCAGCCCCTGACTCAGCCCGCCGCTGCCTGGCGGCCTCCCATGAAGTCCAGGGTCAAGGTCCGTTCTCTCCCTGGGTCCAGCCTCTCAGAGTCGTCCTGCATCGGCTCCCTCCTCTGCTCCAGCCCGTCACCCTCCCTTTCTTCGGGGTCCTGTTCCCTGGAGCCCAGCCCCCGCTGGGCCGTTTGTTCAGCGATGAGTCCCAGTGAGGCGAGGCTGTGAGGGGCACCTGCTCCGCCACCCGGCTTTGCGCTGCTCGCAGCTGCTTGGAGGTTCTGCTGAGCGGAGGGGGTGGAATGCAGGACATTTACCGAGGCTGGAGAAGCAGGAGAGAAAGGAGTGGCAGGGAGAGAGAAGGGAGTGGGCCTCGTGCAAAGAGCGCAGAGGGTATTTTTAGGACGGGCGATGCGGCGTGCCCTCTCTCCCTGGAGACAACTGTCGGTGACGTCGACAGGACTCATCCTGCTCGAGGCAGGCTGAGGGGCAGAACAGGGGTAGCCTGCGGGGGTCGGGGGGCGGCGTGTGGGTCCTAGAAGAGGGGTGAGGCACACGGTGAGGGGGACCAGATTCTCACACGCTGATAACAGGAATGTGTGTGACCCAGGGCCCAAGGGCCTCGCTGGACCAAGTGTCCGCACTCTGCAGGACCTACCACAAAGTACGTGTCACGGGTACTCTCAGATGGGGGTCAGAGCCGCGAGAGGTCCCTCCCAGGAGGACCCGGCAGAGGCGGCCAGGGTCGCAGATCTGCGCCGGGGAGATGGGCAGGCCTTACACAGGGAGACGGGCGGCGGGGAGAAGAGTAGAATGAGGAGGACAGGAAAGGGCAGACCTTTAGGCTCGGCCGAGCTGCAGGAGACCCGCCGGAAGGCAGAAGGGAGACAGACCAGGGTGCTGGGCCCTACTGGCTCGGCCTCTGAAGGCTTGGCCTTTGGGCAGCGTGACTGAGCCCCTCCGAGGGGCCTTCCCGGCCAGGGAAGCGTCCTAGGCTTGCCCATCACGCCACTCCGGGCTGCAGGGGGTTGGGGGCTGAGCGGGGGGCTGCCCCAGAAGTGTCTCACGCCTGTGGCCATGGTCCCTCTACAGGTCCCTGCTCTGCAACATCCACTTCGTGCTCCTGACCTTCCTTAAGGTGCCCCTGCTTGTGGGCCTGCTGTGCGTGGTGATGTGGCTGAGCAGGCAGCCGGCGGACGCCCAGGGAAAGGAGCTCCGTCTGCGCGGGAAGTCTGCAGCGCCCCTGCCGCCGACTCCCCGTCTCGAGCGCGCAGAGCCTGCCGACCCCTTCTCAGGGAATAAGCAGGGGTCGCCGTTCCAAAAGAGAGGAGGGTCCCCGCTGGGGCGAGGCCCCCCCTCCTCCTGGCTGCAGGGACGCAGTCGGCACAGCCCCGCACCCTGGCCTCCGGCGGCGCAGGAGCAGAGAGCGGAGCAGAAGCGCTGCTCCCCTTACACACTGGGTCCTCGGAGGCACCCGCAGCCTCAGCCGTGCGGGTCCTCCCGCGGCCCCCTGTCCGGTGACTATGAGGTGGCTCTGCCAGATGTGGGGGAGGACTCAGTGGAGTCTAAGACTCCAGCGAGTGACAGAGTCAAGATCCCCCGCCAACCAGCAAGTACGGAAACTGGATTAAGCCAAAAAGCTTCAGAGTGCGTCTACCCGGGCCAAGACGCCCCGCCCCACAGGCAGGGGTGCGGAGGTGTGCAGTGGCCGCCCTCTGTCGCCTCGGACCCTCTGGAGAAGCACCCGAAGGTAGACGGTTAAGGACAAGCTTGGACCGCGGCCCCGCCCGCATCCAGTGTGTCTGCGCTGCATGTTTCTTATTAAATCTCTGGTTTCCTGTGCTCTCTGAGATGATGCTGTTTGATGTGCTCTCTCTGTACGTCGCAGGGGGTGTGAAGCAACTCGCAATCCGACGCCAGAGGGAGGTGCACCTCGCAGAACGCACCAACCAGAGCGTTAGGGGGTGTTAGGGGCGGGGCCTGGAAGACGACGAGCACCCCACGCGTAGATGGAGTGAACCAAGAAACACATGGGGACTTTCAAAGATAACTTTTAAAATGTTATTTTCTACATTTTAAAAAAGTAATCATTGAGGTGTATTTATGCCTAAAAAATTACAGAGTCTTCACATGCTACGTGTGCAGTTTAAGGAGTTTTTTTAAAGGTGAGCACCTGGGTTACTGTCATCTCAACCCAGACCTTCATGGGGCCGTGAGTATATGACCGCAGCGTCATGCTTTCAAACTGTCACATGCAAGTCTTAATCTAGCACCTTCGTGTCACACACAAGGACCAGGAGCCCTGAAGGGCGAGGCCCCTGGGCCCAAAATACCAGGGCCAGGCAGTGGGGTCGGATGTACTGTGAGTCAGCCCAGGGCTGCCCCACACGTCGCCCTGCAGGTCCATCTGCCACTCGAGGAGGGCAGTGCCCAGGCCTGCTGCGCGCACCAGATGGCCCCAGGCACAACGCTGGGCAAGCCCAGCAGTGCTCTGCAATTTCTCCGCTCTCCTCTGAGGCCCCATCCCGCACCCCGGACTCACAAAGACTTACAAACACGTTCTGTTTTGATCACAGTACGTTTCAATGGAGTTCGATGCCTGTATTTAAACACAAGGAATTTCACTTCTGGCTTCGGTTTTAAAAGTAGAAATGCCAGAAGACGGTGGGTCCCCGGTGCCCTACGCTCCCTCCTGACAGCCGTCGAGTGTTTGAAACCTCCCAGGGGCTCCCAAGGGTGCCTCCAGGGTACCATTAAAACACACACGGTAGAACAGAATGAATAAAAGCATCCATTTTTGGCAGATGACATGACTGCCTACATAGAAAATCTCAAGGAATCTACCTAAGCTCTACTAGAGCTGATACGTGAGTTCACAAGGTCACAGGACAAAAGGTGAGCACACACACTCACCAGCCACATTTCTGTACCTGCTAATGAGCGTTAGAAACCAACCTGAAGACCCCAGTGCTATTCCCAATCGCACCCCGCCCCCCCCACCCCCACCCACCAAAGGAGAAGCAGCTGAGCATCGGTCAGCCAGAAGGTGAACCAGGGGCAGCGTCTTCATGCTAAAAATTATGAAAAGCGGATGATGGATGTCAAAGATTTCTAATACATCAAGAGCTGTGCCACGTGTGTGGATTGGAAAACTTGGCACAGTGAAAGGTGAAAGATCTGTTTGCTTTGAAGAGAAGCCAGAGTACCAGCATAGTAAAGATGCCCACTTCACAATACCCATCTACACCTTTACTGCAGTTCCTACCAAAACCCCAGCAAGATTTGTTCACAGAGACCAGCTCACTTTACAATGTATGCAGGAAGGCAAGAGAACTAGAATGCCTCAGGCAGTGCTGAAAAAGAAGAAAGAGGGAGGAATCCCCTGCTGGCACTTGACTCTCGCCACGGGATCACAGAACCCGGCGGGAACCTGGACCTCGCGGTATCGGAGGGACAGACGGCGGGATCCGTGAAGAACACACAGGACTCCAGACGCCTGCCTCTTCACTGCTGGGCCTCCACGTGCCCTGTCCTTGGCTCTGAGCCCTTCCTTGGAGACGTCGCCCCTCCCTGGGCTCCGATCAGCCTCTCCATATGTCTTTCTCCCCAGCGGCCATGCCCTGCGAACCCACATGACTAGCTTCCCGCCAGACCTCTCTGCCTGCAAACCCCAGCCCCACGGACGAGGGGAGCTCTGCGTGGCCCAACTGCTCCTGCCGCTGCGAACAGCACCCTGCTCTCTGGTCTCCGAGGCTGCACCTCCGGACTCCCAGGCCCTTTCTTTCTGAGCTCCCACACGTCTCCCCAAAACACGCCCGCCACCCCGTTGGGATCTGTCCAAATCCACCCGAGTGTCTCACAGCAAAGTTGAAGTGAGAGCTGGGTCCTTCTAAGCCTCTGCCACATGCCCGACCTTGGCTGGCCTGGGTCAGCTCCCCATGCACTGCCGCAGGAAAAGGTCACTCCGAGGGCATCGTAGGCACGCCCACGCCGTGAGAAACTCCTGCCACACGCCACTCACTGACAGGCCCTCCAGGCCCGGCTTCCTCTCTCTGCCCCGCCCCCAGCCCTACTCAGCGGACAGCTGCCCTGCCTTCATCACCACCCTCAGACACCACCTCGGGTCCCTGTCCGGCCCATCCGGCACCGTGTTTATCTTCTTAAACAAACAGCAGCATAAACGTCTTTCTTGCCATGGCTATGTTTCCACACCCGCCCTCTCCCCCTGTGTTTGTTAAACGCGATGAGTGTGCGCCTCATTAGATGAATTTCTCCTTCAGCTCCGAGGGCGGCTGGTCCGCACGCAGGTGGCTCTCAGCGGGGATGGTGATGCTTGCTTGTGATGGACGGTGAAACGCCCCCCCCCCACAAACTGCAGGGAGGGGGGCACTGACAAGCATTCCAAAGCCACCTGAGCCCTGTCCTGGGCTCAGGAAGCCCAGGGGTGGCCGTGGCATCACGCCTCCCCAACGTGGTGAAGCGTCTCCTCGCCTCCACGTCCTGCACCCTGTCCTCAGGGACTACGTCTGCCTCGCCCACGGAAGGGGTTTACGGGTAACGGGGGGCCCCAGCCAGGCTTCTCCTCAAGTCGACAAAGCCGGACCCTCCGTGGGCTCTGTGCACAGGAGAGCTTGCAGGGGGGGGTGGGGATTCCAGGAGAGAGATTCAGGACACCCACGGCCTCCTCTTCCCACTAGTGTGCCAACTGACCCCAGAACTTGAACTTGAAATTGCTCGGCCACGTCCACCCCAGGCAGAGCCGTACTGAGCCCAATGCCCTGGTCACAGAGCCACCAGCGGGTTGAAGTCTAACGAGACCCATGAGGTGTCAGAAGAGGAGAAGGAAACTCGATCACACGAGACATTGGGCAGCTTCCTCTGTCAGGGCTGAATGCCCCTGGGACTGTCCCTCTTCTGCCCCCAGAGGAGGGGACGGAGTCCTGGGAGCCCAATGACCGGGAGCCTCCTGTCTGCAGGGAGGAGGTGGCTATTGTCCTGAGGGACACCGACTTATGAAGTTTTTGTGCCACAGAAGAAATAGCCAGGCTTCCGCGCACGCAGCCTCCAGAGAACTCTCTCCCTTGGGAAGTGGGCATGAGGGTAAGCAGCCGGGGGGTCTGGGGACGAGAAGGGAGACCCCACACAGGGGCCCAAGACTCATCCTCCCCCCACATGAGGACCAGAGCGAGTGCCCGCTGAGCCCCAGGGGTCTCCCTTGAGGCGCGGGAACAACACCCCCAGAAAACTCGAGTCCCCCCCAGAATCCAGGTGCTACTGCCTCCTTGCCCTGGAGTGCAGGGCCTGCAGAGCTCTCTCGTTCAGCCTGAAGGACTGGATCCCCGGGCAGGCGTTTCCTGGAGCTGGCGCACGGTGCAGCGGATCCCCGAGGTCAGGCCACCCCCCGCGCTCAGGCTGACCCCGTCTCCTTCCAGGGCCCGCCGGATGCCTGCTCACGAAGACGAGGGCCCCGAGCGCGCTCAGGAGCAGGGCCACCTTCAGCAACAGCAGGAGCAGGAAGTAGCCGGTGCTGAGCGAAACCCTGTGGGGGGACACGGTGACAGGAAATGAACTGCCTCCTGGGGGGGGTGGCCCAAGACCCCTTTGTCTCTGCTGCTCCCTGTGGCCTGATTCCAGGGCCCGAATAACTCAGGACTGCATTGAGAAGGGACCCACTCCAGGGCCCCTCTGTGGGGCCCCTGCCACCTCTCCTCCCTTAGTCAAGAGCTGCTGCCCTGGGGACTGTGGCTGGGAGGTGATGGGGGAAAGGGGGAAGAGGAACCAGGCCGCGCTCTGAGCGGTCCCTGCGTCCCGCTGCCCCTCGGTGTCCCCTCTGTCAACAACGGCCGGAAACCCACACGCGAAGGCCCTTCTCCCGTCCTCTCGGGGTCAAGCAGCAGCGTCCCAGCCCTCCTTTGGGGTCATTGGGAGGAGGACAGGGGCCCCAAATGCCAGCCTGTCCCCCCACAGACCCACGAGCCGCTCATGGGAGCAGGATCCGCGGTAGAGCAGAGACCTCTGGAAGCGAGCCCGGGCTAGGGCCCGGAGAACTGGGACTCTGAGACCAGACCCGGTGGGGAAGGAGAGGGGAGGGATGAGGACAGCAGCAGGAGGAGGGACTGCCCGGCCACCTGAAACCAGCCTCTGCCTCTGTCCCCGGACGTGCTCCACGGGGCAGGGGGACGGAGTAGTCACAGGACAAGTGACAGTTTCCATTCAGAACCCCCACGTAGCCTTAGAGAATGTAAACATCACAGCCAGAGTGGTGGTGGGGGGTGGGGGGACCCGACAGACAGTGAGGGGAAAGACACGGTGTGTGGCCTGCCCCCCCACCGGGGTCCCACGGGGCTGCTGACCCTCCTGGTCCCCAGCCCCCAGGCCTCGGGCCTCACCCTGGGCAGGAGGAAGGCACTCGGTGGGCGCTGAAGTTCCGCCCGCTGGTGGCCTCCGGGAGCGTGGCCGGTGCGGTGGGACGCGGGGCCGGTCTCGTGGTTGTACGAAGAGGCGCTGAAGAGAAACCGCATATCAGGCACTGCCCTCCCCCCGGCCACTCACTCCGCACCCGCACCCGCGAGGTCTGGAAGGGCTCACGGAGCCTGCAGCCAGACACAGGCCGCCTCCTGGGCGGAGCCCCATCGGGGACTAGTGAGACTTTTCCAGAGCTGGGCACGAGTCGCCCCTAATAAGTGCCAGGCTGTTCCGTCCACTCCGAGTGTGGCTCTGCCGCGGGTGAGGGTAGGGGTCGCCAGGGGGCGCTCCGCCTGACCAGGAGCCCCTGGGGGGGGGCAAGGAGGGGTCTGGATGGAGATGCCCAGAGCCTCGCACAGACTCGGGACGGGCTCGGAGCGGCCTTCACACGGAATCTCGGGCCACTTATCCCGCCACTCAGATGTCACCCGGCCCGCCCCGAGGACCCCAGGCGTCCAGACTATTGGCACAACCTCCGTGCCCCGCCCCCCCACGCTCTATCCTAACGTCATGGTGTCCCTCAAACAGCAGCCGCCCCGGAGGCTCGGCCCCTCGCAGGGCACCCAACACAGGCTCAGCCTCGCCCAACAGCGCTTGAGGTCCTTGCTGTTGGGGGTGTGTCCAAGCACGCGGCACACGCCCCGCCCTCATGGGGAGGCAGAGACACCCAATCAGACTGACGCACTTCAATAGAAAGGGGCGGGCACAGGGGAGGGGGCGGGGCTCCACGGGGCGCGGCCGGAGTGCCTCCTCCCCCTTCCGGGGAAGCCCAGAGCAGGGGAGGGGGGCAAGGAGGCGCACGGAGGAGGCTTCGGGGTTGCGGGGTGGCTGCAGGACAGGAGAGACAGGAGCAGGTCCGCAGGCTGAGGCGGAGAAGAGCAGGGACGAGGAGAGGCTGAGGCTGAGGGTGGGAGGGGGTGCGGGTAAGGGGCGGAGAGAGGGTGTGACTGAGCCGAGAGGGCGTGCAGCTCGAGGAGGAGCCGTGGAGTGAGGCGCCAGCTGCAGGACGATGCTCTTCAGCTGGCGGGGAAAACTTGACCCCAGACCTACAAGGGAAGGAGGGGAAAAGGGTTCGGTTGCACGGGAGCTTGCAGGGGAAGAAGGAAAACGGTTGAGACAGTTCAGCCTGGCATCCTGTGCGCTCTCAGTAAGGAAGAACGGACGGGTCAGACGAGGAACCACGAACTTCGGGTGACTTTGCCCCAGCAGTACTGCAGCAGGTAGATTACAGGTAGGGTGACCGGCTTGCCCAAGTTTGCCGGGGACTTTTCCACGTCGAGCAGGGAAAGCCCCACGCCCCCGGCAACCCCTCGGTCCTGGGAAAACCCGATGGTCGGTCAGCCCCATTTCAGGATGGATTCAGGCATGAGGGTTTCGAAAGGTGGCCAGGGGAAGGGTGCGCGGGACTTGAGCGTACTGGTAAGAGAAGAAAGCACAGTCCGCTGTGAGCGCTGCAGCTGGCTCTGGGAGGAAGCGAGACCCCGGCAGGAGCAGGGCGGGCAATAAACGGGGAGAACGTGGCGAGAAGGGTCAAAGGCCTCCGGCCTGGAGGCGCGTGTGAGGCTGAGAGTGGGGGTGGCGAGGACGAGGGGACGGAGGGCAGAGGCGTGGAATGCTGCTGGGAAGCGGAGCGCCTGAGGAGTGCAGGGCTCTAGACGCCACCCGTTTGAGTGAGGACAACGTTTGCACCGTTGCCATGGAGCGGGACTCCGAAACAGAGAGGAAATGCAGGCCGCCGAAGGTGAGAAGCCCACCGAACCTGAGACCAGGTTGGCTGCCAAGTTATTCAGTAAAACCGCCTATGACAGTGACGGGTTGGGTGGAGACGCTGCCAAGTTTCCTGGAAGCCAGCTGGCCGAGTCAGGGAGAGGCAGAGGGCGGGGCGGCCATGTGACGCGTTGTTAAAGGCAGCAGGTGGGAGTGCGCTGGGCCGGAAGAGAACTGGGGCGGGGCTTCGGGGGAACGTGGGGGCGGGAGACAGCAGCTCCGCCCAGAAAGCCTCCCTCCTGGAACAAGTGAGGCCCATTAGGGGGCACCGTGGTGCAGGGGGCGTCCTGTGAGCCGGCTGTAGATGCGTGGGAAAGTGCAGGACTCGGGAGGGCTTGCTGGCCCCGCCCCTGCCCAGGCGGAAGGGTCCACCCCCCCTCCCTGCCCACATGATATAGGCTCTTCCCTCCACCTCCCAGACGGAGGACAACAAGGCCGGACCCAGAGACATTCTTGGGTGTAGCCCCACCCTGGTCCCTGGGTGCAGTCAGAGCCCAGGCTGCCGGAGTGAGGGGGCTCTTACCTGGGGAGACAGACACCTGCACCCGGAACGAGGGGTCCCGTGACCACACGTCCAGGATCCACACTGTCTGGATTTTACACCAGTAGGACCCAGCGTCGGCGGCGTGGAGGTTCCTCATGGTCACTGTGAGGGTGCGGGTGTGGGCGTTGTCTTGGATGGACACTCGGCCATTTCTCCGTTCTCTCTCTTCTCCGTCGGTTTCCACGATCTTGTCACAATTGGTGTCATGCTCTCCGCGGCACCAGTATTTGTTATAGCCCTTGTAACCCTCCTCGTACCAACACCGGACGGTCAGCGAGCTGCCCACGGTGCCCCTCACAAAGCTGGGGCCCCCCAGGGACAAACAGCCTGGAAAACATAAACCGCATCCCAGGAGCCCATCCGGATGGGTCCCCCGGACCAGCCCCAGGGGGGAGTGGCCGGGGAGGTGTAGCCGGCTCTGGCTCCGGGATGGGGCCCCTGAGGGACACCAGAGCTCAGGACCTAAGCGTGGAGACTGGGGACTGGAGAGTGCCGTCAGCAGGGGGAGTAGAGACCTGTACGGGGGGGCCCAGGGACACTGGGTGACCACATGCATGGGTCCCTGCCCTCAGGGTGGGGAGAGTCAGACCCACGCTGGAGGTGGGAGCCTGAAGAGCTGGTGTTCCCGCCCTGTCCTGAGCCCAAACCCTTCCCTCTGGAGGGGGCCTCTGCATCCTGGGCTCTCCCCATCTCGTGCTTGTCCTTTAAGCCTCTGGTTCACTGCCCTCTCCACGTGTCCTCGAGGGGGGACACACAAATCTCTGGCTCTCGCTACTCTCTACGCCACAGGCAGCAAACACCAGGCCCACGAACCGAATCATGCCCTCCACCTTATTTTATCCGGCCCGGCACCTTGCTTCTACCCGGTGACAGGGCCGAGCTCCTTGCCCCTAGTTAAGGAGTAGTTACATCTATACAGTCCTAGAATTACATTCGGCCCTTTGAAGGCCACCGCAAGGTGGCTGTGGCCCCCGGTGAACATGAGTGTGGTGCCCCTGCCCTCGCGAGAATCGGCACACACGGTCTCTCACACAGCTGGCTGCTGAGAAGGGCAGGGGCCCTGGGGAGACCCCCTTAGGCTTCCTGTCTTGGATCTGGGGCGTGTGTGGGCTGACCACCTGAATTCTTAGTCCCCACAGCCTGAAAAGACAGGCAGGAGCAGGGCCAGGAGCTGGGATGGAAAGGAGACAGGAAATGTGAGTCTTTACAAGTGACTGTGAAGTTTTCATCTGAGCCCCGCTGCAAGTACTCGGGAGGGACAGGTGAACCCCCTCCCCCCGGGTTTGGGGGTGGCAGCCTGCTGCTCTCGAAGGGGTGGGAAGTGGTTTCCGTCATCGGTCTCCCTGCACCCAGGCCAGGGCCTTTAGGTGATTTTATCTCCTCTAAGCAAGCAGATTTCTGCAAGCAGCGACGTGCGGGGAGGCGGGGAGGAGCCCTGATACGTGGTATTGGCCGAGTTCCCTGGTTTAAGTGACCTCACCGTGCCCAGTTTCAAGCTAACCACATGTTGTCACCAGACGTGAAGTCAGGAAAACACACTCACGGCCAGCTGTCGTGAGGCCAAGCGAGCTGGCTCCAGCCGCCACTGCTTCCTCTAGGGTGAGTCACAGAATGTCATCGCCTTTTCAGACACGCTGAGCACCTCCGTGTGCACTGGAGCGCACCTCGTTTAAATGCCCCTCCGAGTCTAAGACCTGGAGCGCAGGGCCTCAGGACGCCTCGGAGGCCGGCCCGCCCGCCCATTTATTCTGCTCGTTAGGAAACCCCTCTACCTGCGGTCAGTCTTACCAGCTGGTTTCTCCCTTTAAATCTCTGCCTTTCCACCCACTTTTCTTGGAAGCGTCTGCCATTACGTCGGGCAGGTTCTACGCTTTGTGAGGAAACCCAGCCAAAGAAATCATTCTGCAAACAGGAAGGCTATCCTCTCATTTTTATCCTAAATCTACCTCCCACGGAGGGGAAAAGAAAAGTGCCCTCACGCATTTGGAATGTCTTTTCTAAGAGTTTGTCTCTGCACATCCAGCCGTGGATGGACAGTTGTACGGACTCGCTTACGCCACACCTTGATTCTAAACAACGTGAGGTAGATGCCGAGAACAGCATCGTAGACTCTCCATTAATTCTTTCTAAGGAATCTTTCCAACTCCTTTCAACTGAACTCCGGCAGAACAGAAACCCTGCAAGTTCCTGAACGTCCCACGATCCCTCCTGGCTCCATGCTTTTGCCTGTGCTCTTCCCCTTTTCCACCCATTCTTCAAGACCAAGGTCATGTAAAGCCTTGGTGAAGACCCGCGTCCTTCCAACGGCAGAGCTCAGGGTTCCTGCCACGCACCCTCATCCCCCAGAGGGTGAGTCTCTTCTATAGCAAGTCCCACGCTGTGTTGCAACTGCTTGCCTTCCTCATCCAGCCCTGAGCCCCTGAGTGCAGAAGCTGTTCTGAATCACAGCATCCGGAACAGTCCTGGCACACAGGTGGTGCTCAGGAAGTGCAGGTAGGATCTGTGGGTGAACGTTTAAGTGCACAGGAGAATAGACGGATGGATGGATGGATGGATGGATGGATGTGCCCTTCCCGTTTCGGCCGTCACTGTGCCTCTGGCCTGAACCCAGGGTACCCTCCTGCCCCCTACATGAGCAGGCTGCCCGAGCCCCAGCCCCACTCACCTGGGAGGCAGAGAAGGAGCAGAGCCGGAGGCAGCCACATGGTCCTCTGTCCCCGGCCGGTGTCCCCAGCGAATCCAAGTCCCAGCCGGCACTGAGGAGCCTGCAGCGGAGCCCGGTCATTTACCCTCTGCTGGTTCAAGGTTCCCGTGCGTCCCTGTGCCATCCACTTCCTCGTTCACGTTCACCTCTCAGCTGCTTCCTCATCTGGAGCCTTCCCTAGAAAAAAGGGGAAGGGAGGCAAGGGGCATACCCGAGAACGGACCAAGCCCAACAGGGAAAATCAGTTGATTTTCCCCCTGCTTAGTGACAATGTGTGGGCCACACCATGAACCTTCACGAAAGGCAGTCCCTGCGTGTGAAACCTTGGACGGAGGAGACCCTGGGTCCCCTGGGTCCCCTGACTCTCCCTTCTTCCTGTCTGGGCCTGTTTCTTGATTTAATCAGCTGCCCCTTCTCTCTGGCTGCCTACTTTGGGGTCATAAAATACTCTCACTTAAGAGATCTGGGGTGCCCTGGCTGGCGTGGCTCAGTGGATTGAGTACCTGCCTGTGAACCAAAGGGTCACTGGTTCTATTCCCAGTCACAGCACATGCCTGGGTTGCGGGCCAGGTCCATAGTAGGGGGTGCGTGAGAAGCAATCGTGTATCTCTTCATATTTCCCTCCTTCTCGCCTTCCCTTCCCCTCTGTCTAAAAATAAATAAATAAAATCTTTTAAAAAATAGCTTTTCACTTGTTCTCTCAGCCAGCTACACATTCCCTCCAGTCCAGCCTGCGTATCAGTGGCTCCTCCAACACTTTTCCCAGAGGCTGCTATCCACGGCCTTAAACTCACTGTCTTGTAGAACCTCCTGCCAAATCACTGGCCATTTCTAGCTTTCACTGTAAGGGCACAACTTCTGATTTCCCCCCTTTCACCGTAGCTGATGAATGTGATACTTGGGTTAAGCCCTGGACCACCAAACACAAGGCCTGTGGGCCGGTGCCAATAAACAGGCAGAATATATAGAGAATTCCTAAAACCCAACAGAAAAAAAAAAGAAAAGAAAAAACAATTCAAAAACGGAGAGATTTCCATAGATATTTTTCTCCAAAGATACTCAGATGGCCGATAAGCACATAAAAAGATGTCCCACGTCACTAATTATTGCAGAAATGCAAATCAGAACCACAATGAGATACCATCTTGCACCCACAGCATGGCTAAGAAGAAGAAGAAGAAGGAGGAGGGGGAGGGGGAGGGGGAGGGGGAAGAGGAAGGAAGGAAGGGAGAGAGAGGAGAGAAAAGAGAAGGGAAGGGAAGAAAAGAAAAAGGAAAGAAGGCCTGACTGGCATAGCTCAGTGAATTGAGCGTGGGCTGCGAACCAAAGCATCGCAGGTTCGATTCTCAGTCAGGGTACATGCCTGGGCTGCAGGCCATGACCCCCAGCAACCTCACACTGAAGTTTCTCTATCTCCCTCCCTTCCCTCTCTAAAAAAAAATAAATAAAATCTTTTTAAAAAAAGAAAAGAAAAAGGAAAGAAAACGAGGAGTGCTGGTGAGAACGTGGAGAAACGGGAGCCTCAGCACACCGCCGGCGGGACTGTGAACAGACACAGTGGCTGCGGACAGCAGCAGGCGGTTCCTCCAAAGGTTAAAAATAGATTCGCCACGCCATTCAGCAATCCCTCTTCTGGGCGCGCACACACAAGAGTGGAAAGCAGGGTGTCAGAGGGGTGTATGGAGACCTGTGTCCACAGCAGCGTTCTCACGACAGCTAAGACACGGAGGCGACCCCAGTGCCCCTCGACGGACGTGTGGATGGGCGGCGTGTGGTGTGTGCGCATGAGGGAATAGCATCTAGCCTCGCAGAGAAAGGAAATTCTGACACAGGCCGCAATGTGGATGAACCCGGGGGACATCGTGCTCAGTGGAGTGAGCCAGTCACAAACAGACCAATGCTCGTGGTTCCACACGCAGGAGGCGTTTCCAGGGGTCAAATCCCAGAGACAGGCCGCCAGGGGAGTGGTCGCCAGGGGCTTCGGGGAGAGGAGAATGGGGAGTCAGGGTTTTGTGGGGATGGGGTTTCAGTGTTCCAGGATGAATAGAGTCCTGTGGCTGGGTGGTGATGACGGTCACACAGCAAGGTCACTGTATTTCATGTACGTAATACCACTGAACCAGAAGTTAAAAATGACAAAACGCTGGTAGATTTTACATGTGTGTTTTTACCGCACCAAAAAAACCCCCTGTGCATTAAAGAAAAGAGTTGCATCCTGGAAAGAACCCTGTGAGGAGGGCGTGGAGCTCGGACCAAATGGTGTTCGGCACAGAAGCAGGAGGTTTCTGGGCATCCCATCCCACCCCCCTCCCCCGAGTTTTCCAGGCACTAACAACTCTCCGTGGTACAGTGCAGCCGGGCAGTCGGGAGAGCCGTGGGAGGATAAGCAGAACTTGTCCGCTGGGCGCCTTCTGAACACGAGTGATCACGTCCTCCGTCTTGGGTTGTGGCCGGTGCTGTTCATCAGGCTAAAGGCGCAGACGGAGGAGCAAATGCCGGGGACAGGGCCCTGCTCCGGGGAAGCTGGGAGTCAGAGATGCACACAGGGCGAGCCCCGAGGGAAGGGGCAGGCAGAGGCTGGGGACAGCAACCACTGCCACCAGACGCCCTCAGAAAGCACCAGCCTGCTGACACCACGAGCATCTACAAACACGCCTGGGCAGGGCCCAGAGACTGGGCAGATGCGAGAAAGGAAGACGGGGAGATGAATACGCACGCAATGGTAAGGCAGCCGCTGCCAGCGGGGAGACAGGCGGATGAATACGCACGCGGTAGTAAAGGCAGGCGCGGCCGCTGGGACTGCTGCCCTGGATGGAGATGGTGCCAGATCCTGAGCCGTGGGTGGGGAAGTGGAAACCTCCCCCAGCCCGGGGTCCATGTTGGTTTGGTCAAGCAGAGTCCTGGAGACACATCAGCGGCCATGCAAAGAGTGGCCTTGATACCACTGCCTCCAGCACAGCCCAGCAGCGGTGTGGTCGTGGGAACACGTCACAGGTCACAGGTGCGGGCGAGCCATCCCCTCTGATGGTCCCGTGGAGCCCATGGGGGAGGGCTCAGTGCTGAAGGTCAAGAATCCGGCTTCTCCGAAGTCTGGCATGAGAAGCTCCTGTAGACAGAAAATGAGGGTCTTTGCCCAGCTCCCCTCGGCCACCTTTCTGAGGCTGGTTCACCCCGATCACAGCACGGGGCGGGCCCAGGGGCAGGGACACCTTCAGCAGGGGCAGGGAGGGGAGGCGGATGAGCAGGGACCTGTGGGAGTAACATAGGGCACAGGTGAGGAGTGGCTCTCTGCTCCCCCTCTTCTTCCTCAGTGCCCACCGCTCAGCGACGCCCATTGTAACGCCCATACAGAGCCACGGACAAGGTCCGCCAGGGGAGAGAGACGCTAAGAGGAGACTTTCAAACCAGGGGAGCACCTCTGTCACGGTTTTCCACTTTCTCTCTCTGCCGATTGGCGGCCCCTGGGCAGCTGGGGCTGCACCAGGTCCCGGGAGCAACACTCAACAAACCACTCCTGGATAATGACTCCATCAGGATGGTGTATCGGCTCCTCCAGGCACATCCACACCTGCTACCTGATTCTCTCCTCCCCACGGCCCCGAGAGTCATCTGGTCAGCCTCACCAGGCCCCGGGCCCCAACAGCTTTTCAAGCTTTTGATCTTTCCTGGAGATTTGTTTTAAAGCTGCCTTGCCATCTGAAATCTAATTTGAGGTCATTCTCAGAAAATTCCCCCAAGGCCTTTCTCATTTCTTCCTTTGGGCCAAGAATGTTCTCTTTCGCGGCTATAATTCATCGAGTCACTCACTTCAAGTTCAAAGAAGTGACGTTTGTCCACAGCAGGCCCATTATTGTTACATCAAAGAACTACCAAGAGACTGACCTTTGATTTTTGTAGCAAATTGGCAACAAAGGACTGTCTATGGAAATGCACATGCGCACAGTGTGCCTCACTCGGCAGCAACAACAATTCAGCCGATGTTTACAGAGGGTCCGCTCCAGGCCAGGCCCCACCCCGAGGGTGGGGGAATGCCCAGATGAACAGTCAGCCCCCAGCCCATTCAGTGGACTCGAGATCCAACAGGCCACCCACCGTAACACAGTGTGGTCAGAGCCGTCCCAGAGGACGGGCGCGAGCAGCGGGGACCAGACGGGCCAGGGGAGGCTTTGCAGAGGAGGCGGTGCTGGCACTGGGTCTCGGGAGATGAAACGATTTTTACAGCCAGGGCAATGGCTTAGAAGAAACCTGAAAGAGAGGGCCAGAGCTAGATCAGTCCACCGTTGGCTGGAACACCGGGTGTCGGAGTGGGGAGCAACAGACTTCCAGAGGCTGGCACAGGAACGGGTCGTGCAGGACCTGGCACTGTGCCCTGGAGGTGACAGGTAGCCCCTGAGCAAGGGAGTCCTGATCGGGGTGAGGGCCAGAGAGAGAGACGTCTGCAGCGGGAATGTGTGGGAAGAGGAGGGTCTGGTAATAAAAGTCCGAACCACGAGAGTGGCTCTGGGAATGGACAGAACAAGAGGAATGGGAGAGACACTACGTAAGGGTAGACTTGACAAGATTTTTGGTCCACGGGAGGTGAAGGGCAAGGAGCCGAACATAATCTAGAGGGTCTCGCTCTGGGGTCGGGGGACACCATGAGCTGAGTCGGGGAGCCAGGAGGAGCAGGCGGGGAAGGAAGTGAGCCGTTTGCTGGGAGGCGCGGGGAGCCGGAGGAGCCTCGGGAGCAGCCGGGGAAAGATGTCCAGGCGGAGGTGGCAGAGAGAGGCGGGAGGCAGACACACTGACGGAGGAGCCTGGCAGGCGCTTAGTGAGGCCAGGGGACCGGATGGGACAGTGTTGGAGGACAATGTGCCCCAGCCAAGGTGCGAGTTAGCACCGTGAGGGTGGCTGAGGGCGCCTCTGCTGCAGACCAGGAAGAAGACGGGGCCGTTGGAGGAAAACGAAGAAATTAAGTTCAAAAAACAGGAGAACTACGGGACGTGGTCTGGTGACGTTTTCCCGAGGGAGCAGCCAACAATGGCAGACGAGTCGGATGGGAAGCCGGCCTGCGGGTCCTGCAGCAGGACGTCACTGCCGATCGTTATTGCCACAGGTCAAGGTCACAGAGCACAGAGGGCGATCAGAATGAGGATTCCCTCCTGTTTTCTCCCTTCTCCCTCTTGGGCTTCAGCTCCGCAGGCCCCACAGCCCTGTCTCACACAGGGGACACCTCCCGTGTCAGGGACACAGAGGCCGTTTGGCCCGCCCCTCCGTCGCCCTGTTGTTCCAGCCCCCGAGATGCAAACCCCACCTGGACCCAGCCTGTGGGGGCTCGTACTGGACAGGGCTGCTACTGGCTGTTCCTCCACAGCCGTGGGCACCGGCCTCTGTCCCACCCACACGACCTGACTTGTGCCCTGAAGGCTCCAGCAAAAGAGGAACCCCACACCGCTGCGATGTGGCTGGCAGCCTCCCACGCTCTGGTTTCTGGTGGAGCCTGCAGTTCCTCACAAGCCTGAGGTGGCCAAACACCAGACCGAAGGCAAAGGCTTGTGCCCACCAGCTGTCCAGGGAGACGTGGGAGCCCCGTGGCACCGGGCAACTCCGGCCCATGTGTGAGCTCCCCCTGCACACCCTCTGCTCCAGCTGGTGAACCCCGTGCAAGAACACACACAGATGCTCGCAGTGAAACACACATCCCCACTTACGTCCACACGCACAGCCCACTGATCAGCGAGAGAATGACGGGCGTCCGCCTCCAATCAGGAGCCGCACAGGCAGCAGCTCTTAGGAAATGCCTGACCTTGCGCAATTTTCCTTCTAAATCCGGCCTGCAGTTTCGGTTCCTCAGCTTCGCAGGAGTTTCGGGGTGAGCTCATCCACACGGGAGAGTGAGTATCTCAAAATAGGGGGGTGGGGGGCATAAACAATGGGGAGATGCAGCTCCAGGCTCCCTGTGGCCACCGAGCAGGAGGCTGCAAGTTAAAGAGCTCATGGTTCCCCTCCATCTGGACTAACAGGTCACGGGGACCGTGTGGAGAAGAGCCCAGAGAGTAATTCATACCTGCACGGTCAACCGGCTTCCAGCCAAGACACCCAGGCAGCCCGATGGAAAAGGAAACATGGTGTCAGAAGGAGGAAGTGCCCACGTGCGGAAAAATGAACCTGGGCCTCTACTCCTCCCCCAGACGCCAGTTAATAATAATTACTCAATTAATTTGGAAATGATCGCAGGCCTAAACAAATAAAAGCCAGACCCATAAGGCTTTGAGCAGAAAAGAATGAGGGGAGCCCTGGCTGGCATAGCTCAGTGGATTGAGCTGGGGCTGTGAACCAAAGTGTCACAGGTTCGATTCCCAGTCGGGGCACATGCCTGGGTTGCAGGCCATGACCTTCAGCAACCACACATTGATGTTTCTCTCTCTCTCTCTCTCTCTCTCTCTCTCTCTCTCTCTCTCTCTCTCTCTCTTCCTCCATTCCCTCTCTAAAAATAAATAAATAAAATCTTTAAAAAAAAGAGAAAAGAATGAGGGAATATCTCTGCCCCCTCAAAGTAGGCAACTACTTTCTTAAGACGCACACATGCACACAAGAGCACCACCACACATTACAGATGGGCTTTCATCAAAATTAAATTTTTCTGTTCATCAGGAGACATTATTTAAAGAATGGAGGAGAGGCCCAAGACTGGGAGAAAAGATATGTAGTCCATGTGTCTCGCCGTGAATTATAAGCATTGGGCATTTAGAATGTTTAAAGAACACAGATAACTTACCAATAAGAAGGTAAGCAACTCAATTCTTAAAAGATCAGATGAAGATTTAAATGGACACTTTACTAAGGATGATGGACGAATGGCTAATCTGCACGTGAAGGGGTGCCTGGCAACGTTAGTCATCAGAGAAATGCAATTTAAAACCACGATGAGAATGGCATTGAGGTTGCACAAAATGTGAATATACACATCAATGTCACCGAACTGTGCACTTTAAAGTGGTGTAAATGGTAAATGTTAGGTTATGTATATCTTATCACAATTTTTCTTAAAGGGCAGAAAGTGGGCCCTGGCTGGTGTGGCTCAGTGGATTGAGCACAGGCCTGCAAAGCAAAGGGTCACCGGTTCAATTCCCAATAAGGGCATGTGCCTGGGTTGCGGGCCAGGTCCCCAGTAGGGGGCATGTGAAAGGCAACCACACATTGATGTTTCACTCCCTCTCTTTCTCTCTCCCTTCCCCTCTCTAAAAATAAATAAATAAAATCTTGTTGAAAAATAAAAGGGCAGAAAGTACACACAGGAAGGTAAGCGATCATCTCTGTCCAAAAGGTCGTGCCCTGCAGATTTGGCCGTGTGCCCACACACAGACCCACCGTCACCCCAACTTCCCTCCTAGCAAGGAATCATCGCTGACTTCAATAACCTGGTACATCTATCCCACAGATAAGGCAGCCACACAAACAAATATAAATTTAAATAAAATTTTTAAATGTATCCCCCAAACAGCCCCACGACGACCAGATGCCATTTCTCTGTCACAAGAACCGCTGAACCCCCAAACCCAGGCCCCTGTGTCCCCATCTAACAAGTGGAGGACTCTTCACCCATTGTTCTCAAGTTCTGTTCTAGGAGCTCCTGCGTCATGAAAGTACAGACGAAAGGGATCAATCCCTGAGGGATGAGGCCCACCCACCGGTTTCTCGCTGCTTACCGGTGAAGTTCAACAGCCTCCTGACAAGCCCAGGGTGGACTCGGCCGCACGTGCACCAGGTGAGGGAAGCTAAGGCAGCCAGAGCTACCACTTGCGGAGCATCTGCTTGCGGCCTGTCCTGGGTCCCGTCACTCAGTCCCCATCTCTGCCCCCGGACCCTGCCCCTTCTCACTTCATTTGCTTGTGCAGTGCTGGGCCTCAGAGGCATGAACTCAATCGATCGCAAACCTCAGCTTGTTTATTTTTTTTATTTTTTTTTATCTTCTCCTCCTCTAACACCCAGCTGCTTTTTTCAGCCGAATGTCCAAGTTCTGAGATTTTTCCAGGAAGCTAAAGGTCATTCCTCCCGACTGCTGCCAACTTCTCCACCATTTCCAGATCTCACGTTTTATCTGTTCTTCCCCTGGCAACACCCATTTCCGACTAGTTGCTGTCACCGTCGTCTGGGGTGCGGGACCCTACTGGAGACCAGTTTTCCTTCTGCGGCAACCGGAATGTTGAGGCAGAACTGCAAGGCTGGGGGAGGAAGACAAGAGGGGGGAGGGGCTGACGGGAACATCGAAGGGCATTACAGGGACTGCATTCAGGACTCCAGCAGGGAACTCACCCATGAGCTGGTGGGAAAACCTCACCCAAGGATCCCCTGATCTGGACAGTGGGCACCCCAGATGTCCCAAGTGTTGAACCCACAACCCCCTCTGCTGTCAACTCCGCAGACAAATCTTTATGCACATGCTGAGTGTGGTGACTAGATCACAGGCTGGTAGACAGGGCAGGAGTGTGCAGGCAGGAAAATCATAAACTTGAGCTGTAGCGCCACCTTCTGGAAAACAGAAGAGGTTTCCAACAGCCAGCCTGGTGAGATGTAGTAAGGTAGAGAGAAGATAGACAAGTTTAAGAATTTTGCTACTTATCTAAGAAATAACTAAGAGCAAAAACTATGAACAGCAAAATGACAACAAACTCACAACTATCAACAACTAAACCTAAAAAACAAAAACTAAGCAAACAACTGGAACAGGAACAGAATCAGAGAATGGACATCACATGGAGGGTTTTCAGTGGGGAGGGGGAGGGGAGCATGGGGGGTGGGTACAGGGAATAAGAAGCAGAATAGGTAGGCATGAAATAGATGGGGAGAGGTAAGAATGGTATAGGAAACAGAAGTCACAGAACTTGTATGTACAACCCATGGACATGAACTAATGGGGGAAAACTGGGTTGGGGGTGCAGGGGGGAAGGGGGATAAAAGGGGAAAAATTGGGAAAATCGTAATAGCATAATCAATAAAATATACTTAAAAATAAAATATTTTTGAGAATGTAAAACAAAAAAAGAAAGCTTTTTGGGGGTTCCGGCAATGTTATTTTTCTTGACCTTGATTGTAGTTACATAGATTTTCATGTCATAATTATTTTTTTAAACTGTATGTGTTTTATGCAATTTTCTAGATGGATGATGTATTTCACAATAAAAAGGAATTTAAAAAAAAGAAAAGAAAGAATTCTGCCAGGAGAGGGAGCAAGAAGCATGCAGGGCATGTATTCACACGCGGTTGGGGAAAGTCCCAGATATAAGCCGAACCAGTGGAAAATATCTCCCACCTGAAGCTAATTAGTAAATATCGAAGAAGGTGACTGCTACTTCCAATGCAAAGACAGAATGCAAAACTCCAAGGAACATGAAGAATCAAAGACCCACGGCATCACACACACAAAACGATAATAACAACAATCTGCTGCAAAGATTGTTTAACCAAACTCAAAGACACAAAACTCTACCATCTACCTGATAAAGAATTCAAAATAGGTGCTTTGAGAACTCAAAATAAAAACACAGAAAGACAATTGAACAAAATCAGGTAAACTAAACATGAGCAAAATGAGAAATTTAATAAGGACATGGAAATCATAAAAAGAAACCAAACAGAAACTCTGGAGCAGAAGAATTCAGCGAATAAAATGAAAAAATAAAAAAAAAGCAATACAGAGCATCAACAACAGAATAGACGGAATGGGAGACAGAATTGGTGAGCTAGAGGGTAGGAACTTTGAAATCATCCAGTCAGAGGAGAGCAAAGAAAAAAGAAAAGAAGGAAGTAAAGGAAGCCAGCGGATGCTGTAGGCCACCATCCGAGGTGAAAACAGCAGAACAGCTGCAGGGACAGAAGGAGAAGAGGGGGAGAAGGGGACAGATGTTCATTTAAGGAAACAGTAGCTGAGAACATCCCAAACCTGGGGGGAGACTTGGGCATTCGAGTTCAAGAAGCTCATAGATCACCATTATCTTAACATGAAATGACCTTCTCCAAGACAAATTATAATAAACACCATCAAAATTCCAAGACAAAGAGAGAACCCTAAAAGCAGGGGGAAGAAAAACAGATCGTCACCTACAAAGGAACCCCCACTGAGCTCTCAGTGTATTCTTCAGCTGAAGCCCTGCAGGCCAGGGGAGAGTAGAATGGTGTATTTGACGCGTTTAAAGGGAAAAGGTGCTAGCCACAAATACTCTGCCTGGCAAAGCTATCCTTCAGAAATGAGAGAGAAATAAAGATATTGTCAGACAAAAAATGCTGAGGCAGCTCAGTAGCACTGCATCCGCTCACAAGAAATGCTGAAGGGAGGACTTCAAGTTGAAATTAAAACATGCTAATTAACAGCATGAAACCACACAAAATATAAAATATGCTGGTAAAGGTAAATATATTGTTAGATCTAGAAAACTCTAATTCTGTGATAGGATGGTGCGCTAACCACTTAACTATAACAGTATAAATGTGAAAGGAAAAGAGTATTGAAAACCCTATAACGACTATATTTTTAACAAATACACAAAATGAAAATGGCAAAATGTGACATCCAGTACATACAAAGGATGAAGTGAAAGAGCAAAGCTTTCCTATGTGATCAGAGTTCAGTTGCTGTCAGCTTAAAAGGGACTGTCTTATCTATAAGATGTTTCATGAAAGCCCCATGGTGACCACAAAGTGAAAAACTGTTGTAGGCTCACAAAAAGGAAGAGAGGGGAGTCGGAACCTGCCACCACAGAAAATCCCCACTTCACAAAGATGAGCAGAAAGGGAGGGAAATATGAAAAATGGAAAACAGCCAGAAAGCAACAAATGAAATGGTATCAGTAAGTCCTTTCATATCAATAATTACTCTGTAAGGACCAGGCTGGCAGCCTGGATAACAAAAATACAAGACCCAACTATATGCTGCCTACAAGAGATTTATTCAGCTTTCAGGACACACATAGTGACGGATGAGAAAAAGATATTCCATGAAAGAGGAAATTAAAAGAAATCAGGGGTAGCTATACTTACGTGTATCAGATAAAACAGAGCTTATGCCAAAAATAGTAACAAGATGCAAGAGGACATTATA